CTGGGGCAAAAATACATCTTCTTTATGGACAAAGCCAACAGCATATCCCTCTACATCCTGTTCTGGTTTCTAGCTTCAGAGAAGCTGAAAAGTTCGTTTTTTTTTTTTAATCCTCACTGGAAAAAAAGTTGCCATCGCTATTGTGAGAACCTCTGATTTCCCCAGAAGTTGCTGACCTCTAAACTAGTCCAACCCCAATTTCAATGCTGGAAACCCCTCTACAACATCCCACTAAGTGGGGGGAAGAATGGGAAATGATTGCTACTGGTACACAGTTCCTTTAGTGATAAAAATGTTCTAAGATTAGATAAAAGTGATGGTTTTACATCTCTGTGAATAGACTAAAAACCTATAAATTACATTTTAAAAGAATATTAAAGTATAGGAACTATAGCTCAATAAATGTACTATTTTAAAAATAAGTTTCGGGCCACCCTGGTGGTGCGGGGATTAAAGACAGCCCTATCAAGCTATCACCAGCTACTGCAGCACCCCAGCCTGCCAGGGAGGTGAGCCACATGGCACACATGGCAGACCTTGCCTATCTCATTCGCTGCTCCCCTTTGCAGTATATTTTAGTAGTTCTGCCTGTTCTGCTCCCACTCTGTCTCTGGTGAATCCTTTCAGCACCCCCATTCCTCACCTCTGGCCCAGTTCTTGTGTGCATAAACAAATCTTTTTTAAAAAATTAAAATAAGTTTCATCTGCTTCATTTTTACTTTATTAAATGATACTATTAGAAAACTATTAATTAAAGGACTCTCCCTGGTGGCACAGCAGGTTAAAGCACAGCACTAAGAAGCTAAAGCCACTTCAGCATGAGTTCGATCCCCGCCCTGGCGGTGACCCACATGGCACTGCAGACCTCTCCTGACTCGCCCGCTTCTCCTGACCAGCCCGCTGCTCCCTTCAGCAGTGTACTTCATCAGTCGGCCTGTTCTGCTCCCCACTCTGTCTCTGGTGAATCCTCTCACCACCCCTGCACCTCTGGCCTGTACCCCAGTTCTGTATGCATAAATAAATAAATTTTCTAAACTATTAATTACATTATTATTAATTACTATTAAACAGCATAGCATATTCCATTTGCATAGCTTATGTCTATAGGCAAGTAACTTCTATCTAAATCTGTTTCTAACATAATTCCCATTATTACTAATTTTAAAATTGTAAAATGTCATGAATGTCTATGTTGCCTTTAGTTGCATAAAAATCATAAAGTGTATAAGAGCTAACAGAGGTTTTTTCACTAACTAGAACTCCCCGCATGGGTGTTCAGGGACCCAGTCAGCCTGTTAAGACTGAAGAGGAGTCACTGTTATATCCAGAGTCCTATTCACAAGACATGGGCAAGCTAAAATCAATATTACATGCCATCCTTACCTCAACGGCCTGGGGAACCACACATCTTCGAGGTCCATGAGAAACTCCTAATTGGCCAAAGGAATTGGAACCACATGATAGAACTTGACCATGTTCTGAAAAATACAAAATACTTAAATTTCATATCTAAAAAGTAAAATATCTTTGACCAGTGGGTGAATGGCAAAGGCTGCACACAGCAAAAGGAATGCGAGCAGCAGGTGGGGGATGGGCCTGTGCCCTCGCTGCTTCCCGCTCGCCCTGCTTTCACAGCTCTAGGGACAGAAGCACCAGACCCTGGGCTGGGTTTTACAGACCTGCTGAATTAATGACAGATTTGCTCTGTAAACACTCAGCTGAGTGCCTGGTTTGGGGACAGAGAGATACTTATCCCCCCACTTGTCATGTTTTCATGACAGAATTCCCACTATTATCCAGGCCTTTCTCCCTGCCCTTTCCCATACTCACTGCTTTCTAGGGGTGAAGGGGTAACCTAACCTACTGGTGACTTTGGGAGAAGGATCTGTACGGTTTGGTTCTTCTTAGCACTCTCGGCTAACATGAAGTAAGGGGTTTCCCTATGAGCAAGACCTAGAGTTTTGGGGTATAGGTCTGGGTCAGAGGAATGTTAGCAACATGACTATTAATCCTGTCCTCCAAATTCACTTTTATCAGTAAAGAGTGACAGTTTGATTTCCAATGGTGTGATTATTCCATGTTTTTCTCACAAGTGGTCCCAAATATGAGCTGGCAACAGTATTATGTACTAACTCCCTACAACCTCCACAAGACCCACATTAAGTACTGCATAAATGGCAGCTATTGTTTAGATTCTAATAATTACTAAAACTCAACATACATGACAGAACCCATACACAGAAGAGAGATGGTAACAACTTAGCAGAATTTTAAGAAGAGAGACCTCATCAGACAGACAAGAGCAGCTATTCCAGGCTGAGGACAGTGTGTACTGTTTGGATTACTAGGAAGAAAAGTATTGGGAGTATGGAGAGTAAGATATAAGGAAACAAAAAGGACATGTAGTAAACAGGAATGGAAGATGGTTTGCTAAAAGGCTTGGGGTTAGAGCTGTCCACATGAGAATCCATGAGGATTTGGGGGTGGGGGTGACACAGTAGAGGATGCCCTTGCCAGACAAAGTGACCAAACAGGAGCTTAGTGAGAATTATGCGTGGTCCTTTCATCCAGAATGGCCAACTAAACAAGGCAAACTGAACAGGAAAATCAAAACTGCTCCCAGGGAGAAGTCAGCTGACAAAGTAACTATTGCCAGCTACCTCAGAGGGCACCCAGACTTCTGGCGCCATAGCTGGGGCAAAAATACATCTTCTTTATGGACAAAGCCAACAGCATATCCCTCTACATCCTGTTCTGGTTTCTAGCTTCAGAGAGGCTGAAAAGTTCTTTTTTTTTTTTTAATCCTCACTGGAAAAAAAGTTGCCATCGCTATTGTGAGAACCTCTGATTTCCTCACACTTCCCCATCACATTCTCCACGAGTGGCTCTTAGCACTACCAGTCAGCCCAGGCAAACAGCTAGCATGAACTTTTGGGATAATAACCCAGAGGATCAAGTCCATTCCCCAGTCTCTGGCAATTTTCCAACCCAAAATTTTACTGATAAAACTCTCCTTACAAAAGACATCCCACAAAATCCCTAACAGCCAGAAACATTTACATGCATCGTTAAACACATAGGGGTTTTCATTTAACCAGCATCTCCATCATCAAGCAATTCTTATCCTCCATGGTGACAAAGATTGACGTAGGAAGAAACTCACCTGTAAGAATAATGGTAAAATCCCAGCCACAGGCCACCTGCTGGATGGGACAGCCGACGAAGGATGTGCATAGGGTGAAATACGGAACATCCTCTGTGTGACCAAGCCCCAGTTGCCCATCTTTATTCAGGCCACAGACAAAAAGTCTTCCTTCGTCTGCAAAGTATAAAGGCTCCGGTGATAGTGTGTACAGGGGAAATTACAAATGCCAAAGCGAGCAAAAGAACTTCACTAATAATCTGGAGCCCCAGACCAAATAACTTTTTCCCACCCACATTAGAAAGCCATGCATGTCAACATGTGGCTGGCCAAATGGCCCAGAGCCAAGGGGGCTCAAGTCTAGTCTCTAAATGGAAACCCCAACTTTTACAACAGCAGCAGCCAATCATCAAACTGAGTCCTACTATGACAATAAAAGCCATCATTTATTCAGCACTTAGAACGTGGCAGGTACCATTCTAAGAGCTGTCTGTATGAAGCATACTTATCTTTCAGGTACAGTGCTTTAGAACCCACAATACTTTCAGAGGCCCACAAAAGTGATGTAAGTTCAATTTAAATGGCGGGAGGAATGTAATAAAGATAAATATATAACACTAAATTTAACCTGGATCATATTAATCTTTATAACAATAACACTGTAAAATATAATTTTAAATAGTTCCTTTATGGAGGTATAGATTCACAAAGGCAAACGTGCCAAGAACTCATGAAAAAGTCATAATGCAGTCCTATTAACCCTTGATTCTCCTTAACCACCATTACTTATGTTACATTACCCCCAGTGAGGAAACCATGAAATGGAGGTAAATTATTGTTATTTACGGCTAATAAGTAACAGGACCAGGATTTGAACCCAGGTGGTTTCATTCTAGAGTTCACGGTTTTTACCAAGCTGCAATAGTCCCTCCTTTATAATACTGAAGTTTTTGTACTATTTTTTAAATACTCTCATAGGTGCTCTGAGGGGGAAATAAAGAAAATAGAAAATTCTTGCTCTCAAAGAATATTCACTCCAAATGCAAACTGCAAACTTCCTATGTACAAATTAAATAAAAATATATGATATAAAATGTGATGTATGGGCCCTCCCTGGTGGCGCAATGGGTTAAAGCACTGCACTAAGAAGCTAAAGCCACTTCCACATGAGTTCGAGCCCGGCCTGCCCAGGAGGAGATCCACATGGCGTGGCAGACCTCTCCTGACCCGCCCGCTGCTCCCCTCAGCAGTGTACTTCGTCGATCTGCCTGTTCTGCTCCCCACTCTGTCTCTGATGAATCCTCTCACCCTCCGCATCTCTGGCCTGTACCCCAGTTCTGTATGAATAAATAAATAAATCTTTAAAAAAAATGTGATGTATGTTGTAACTCAGCCACTAATTGGTCTTATCATCTTAAGCAATCAGTTTTCCTGAGTCTTATTTGTATACTGGTGGGAAGCGGGGGTAACCAAAAGACTCTGAAGTTCTTTTCATTCTGACAACCCTGGATTCTGATGGTAACTTGACCCTTGTTTTCCTCTGCATTATACAAAAGGCTGAAAGATGCAATTATAACACCTTCAGGGAAAGTATCTAAATAAGAAAACGAGGGGCAATCAACTCTTGAAGGAAGTTACCTGTGATGACAGCAGAGTGGCCCCCTCCTCCAGTGATCCTCCTGACACACCCAGGTTTACAGAACTCATCCAGTTGCTGGGGCAAAAGCACATCTTCCTTATGGCCAAGGCCAAGTTGCCCATAGCTATTTGCACCCTAGGGATAAAGTAAAATAAGCCAAAGGTGAAAAAATATAGGAACCACAATGTTCAATGTTCATTTACCTGTCCCAAATCTTCTCACCTGCTATCTGAGGGCCTATAACAGATGAGACTTCACAGACTCATTCTTAAGAGCTTACAACCTCCTATGCAATCCACACTTACTGACCCCATTCCCAGACACTATAATTTCCATGTGAGAAGAGCCCTTAGCACCCACACCTTATCCAGTGAGACTCCTCACCTTCTCCTTCTACTGCCCCAGTCCCCGTGCACTGCCTTTGGGAGATAGCGTGGGAGTGATTTTTTGATAAAAGCTAATTACCTAGGGAGCATAAGATAGGAAATAATGAGGGGGAAGAGAGGACAAATATAAATGGGTAATACACAGGGACCACTTATTGTCCCTTCTCTCCACACCCTCACTAGAAAAACTGGCGGTGACTTTCCACAGAGTTGGCTAAGGATTGTGGGATCTCAAGCAGGAGATATCATCATTATTTCACTTGTGCAGTGAAAAGAGGTTAGCAATAATCCCTAATGGTCTTCCAAGTTTTGTGACTGTAAGGTTTATATGGTAATAATTCCTATAAGGGAATATTACCCCTTGGTGAGCAATAGATCTACCATTATTCTACAATAAAGGGCCACAATCACTAATCCAAAACCCTGGCAGTTATATGTATTTCAGGTTCAGAATTTTATGGACTTTAGAAAATGTATGCAGTATATAAATTGTATTCACTACAAAGTGGGGAAGGGGGGCAGTGCCCTATAAGCAAAACAGTATTGTTTCTACAATAATAGATACAATTTCAGGACCCTCCCTGGTGGGGCACAGGTCAAAGCGAAGCACTATCAAGCTATCTGCAGCCAGTGCAGCAGGAGTTCGATTCCAGCCAGGGAGGTGACCACCATAGCGCAGCAGACCTCTCCTGTCCAGCCTTCTGCTCCCCTCAGCAGTGTATTTCTGTCAATCTGTCTGTTCTGCTCCCCACTCTGTCTCTAGTGAATCCTCTCATCCCCCAACAATGTCCCTCTGACCTGTACCCCAGTTCTTGTATATGTAAATAAATAAATCTTTTTTAAAAAAAAATACAAATACAGTAGGTGACCAAAGACGAAAAACAATCTAGGTCAGATCAATGTGGTGTTTTCAGAGCTTTTGAAACTCCAATTCACTTGGTGAAACCTTAATGTTTGGTATCTCAGACAATGACTCTATTTGATGATAGGGACTTTAAAAAGGTAAGTAAGTTAAACAAGATCATAGAGGTAGAGTACTTGTCTAACAGAACTAGAATCCTTATAAGTGGACATACAGGGACGCTCTTGCAGAGAAAAAGCCACCTGAGCACACAGGGAGAAGGTGGTTATACGCAACTAACTCAGAAAAAACTAACCCTGCCGACACCTTGATTTTCGACTTACAGGGGCTACCAGAGCTGTGAAAAATTAATTTTCATTGTTTAAGCCATCCAGTCTCTGGCATTTTGTTACAGCAGCTCTAGACAACTAGTGCACTCTGCCACAGATGATGCAACAGAAAGAATACACCATTAAATGAGGAGTTGGGAAATGGGTACAGGCAGCCAGTTAGGAACGGGGTGCCCCAAGCCCCCAAACCCACTCATTAAATAAGAGACAATCAGTGAGAACCTGGAGTGTGCCCCCCAAGTCCAGGTGTCTCACATCCATTTAACAAACTAAATGGGGAACAAGGGGAGCCAAGGTGCCCCCCAAACCAATTAAAAATGAAACGTTTAGAACACAAATACAATAACACTGTGCTAAAGCAACAAACCAAAACTGGTTTCCAGATGGCAAGAGACTCAGTGGGCCTCAGTAACCGAAGGGACCCCACCAATCAGCAAAAAGCACAACATGGAGACACCCAAAAGCCAAATACCCCCACTCCTTGTCCACTACACTCATAAAAAATGCTTTTCATCCACTCAGCAGCCACCCACTCGGGACCCCTCTGCTGTCATACAGTTTTCTTGTCCTTCCTCTTCTCTATCAATAAATATCTTGCTTTTCTGTGTAACTCTGGTCTCAACAAATTCTTTCCTTGCCAAAAACAAAAACCAAGAAAGGGACCACCCAGGGGAGATTCAAGGCTGCTCCCAAACTTGATTCACCATCAAGCCTCCAAACACAGCAAGGGGTTTATCAGGTTCGACAGTACTTTTGTTTCAGTATGGAAAAGGCCATCTATGAAAAGCTTTTTCTGCCGGATGTTTCCTCTGTCCACAGAAACCCCAATCTCCCGCCAGGGAAGTCAGACACAGCCTCCACACCAGGTAGACAATCAATCCCCAACTCTACCCCCACGGGGTCAGCAAGATTCAGACCACACCAAGCTCTTTCTGCCAGAATGCAGCCTTCCATTCAAAAGTGATGCCACTTACTAAAAAGACGGTTTTTAATTAGACAATACATACTGGCTTTAATAGTAATATAGGCGTTATTTCCCCCATCCCTAGCGCCATCCCAAGAACTGGAAGTCTTAACGTTTTTCCCAGAAGAGCACAGAGTTCTGCACCCAATAGGTTGTCAGTTCATTCATTAGTCAACAGATATTTACTGAGCATCTTATAATGTGCCCAGCGAAAGGCACCCGAACAAGATAAGCACAGTGGTCACCCTTACGATGCTTACAGTCTAGCCCAGGAGAGTGACATTAACGACTGATGCGTGTCATTACAACTGCGGTACGGACTATGAAGACAAGAGACCATGTCTGCTGGGGACCGTGCATCTGCTCGGACACCTGCCACACGCGCCTGTGCTCAGACCTTCCTCTCTCCGGGCTGCGACGTGTAAACAGGAGCCTGTCCCCTGAACAAAACCAGCGCTGACTCCCACGCCCGTAGCCCAGGCGGTCACCGAAGAACATCAGAAAATAGGCAAGCTCCCGCCTGGTGCACGGCCCAACACCGAAGGCCTCAGAGCACAGGATGCTCTGCCAGGCTGGGTTGGGGCTAACGAAGGGCTTCCATCCTTCGGGCAGGGAGGGTGGGGAGCACAGGTGCCCCCTCTGGCTCCGGGACGGGGCGGTCCTGTCTCTCCGGACAGGTGTCGTTCAGCCTCCACGCTGTCTTTGTCGGCGCTATCCGGGCCCGAAGGCTCTCGAGGAACCAGACGCTCTGCTCAGCGGGCAGGTTCTTCTCCCGGCGCCTCAGCCCCTCCGATCCGAACCCCTAGGGGCTCCGGAATCCAGCGATCAAGACCCTCCCTCCCCGCTCTCTCCGCCTCAGCACCCCCCGGGCAAGATCCTCCAACCCAGAACCGGGCTAGAACCTCAGACGCCCACTTCCAAGGCCGCCTACTCCGAGGCCCTGAGCACTGAGCGTCGGGGCGCCCCCCAGTCCCAGCGGCCCCGGCCGGCCCAGGGGCGGAGTCACGTACCCAGGCGAAGAGCGCGGCCGCGGCCCGGGCAGCCTCCGGGGCGCTCCGCTCGCGCTCCATGCGGGGACGCTCGGCCCGCGCTTCCGGGAGGGGCCGGCGCGGGGGCGGAGTGTTGGGGCGGGGCCGGCGGGAGCCGAGGGGCCGCCCCAGACCCACCTCCCGCTTGCCCCGCCCGGCGCGCCGCTCGCGTCTCCGCCCCCGGCCTCCAGTCCGGCTGGGCCGCTCTGCCTCTTTTCACCCTCCCTCGCACCCTATTTTTAGTAATAATTCTACACCCATGCACTACGCTCAGCATTTCACAAAGCGCCTTCACGTTTTTGGTGCCTGGGAGTCTCATCACGACCCAGAGAGACGGATAAAGCTAGGTTTATATCCCCATTTGATGGGGCAGAAATTGACTGGGGATGGAAATATTGGGCATAGACTGAATGTGTTCAGGCCTGCTTTGCTGTACGGATGCAAAATCCGGAGGCGCTTCTTGGTAGACGAGTGTAGTAATTTATAAAATGGGCGTTGCCCTTGGCACCGAGTGAAAAATTACACCTCCAGACACTGAATTGAGCAGGCTGGTTTTCAGGGACTCCTACCTGAGCGCCTGGACTCAGCGGTCCAAGCATGGCCCTGACCTGATTCTGATCCTCAGTACCGGCTATTTTTCACCCAACGAAGGTTTTCAAATAAAATGACTTCCAACAGACACCCTCATGCACTGCTGGTGAGAGTTAAAACAGTATTGATGCAAAAGTGGCAATGCACATCAGGACTATGAAGACGACAGGTAGTTTAGATGGACAGATGATGGTTGAGTATACTAGAGAGAGGTCGGTAGGTAACTTACCCAGTAATTCTACTCTTGTTCATTTACTACAAGAAAATCAGAGCTATTTGCAAAGACTTAGACTACATTATGGGTTACATATAGTAGGAAAGAACTTAGAAACAATCCGAAAATTTAGAAATAAATTGATTGTGGAATATTAGGCTGCCGTTAAAGGAGAGGTTTGGGAAGATTAAATTTTATTAAAAGGGAAATTCTTGTGATGTATTATACCATACACATGCACATGCCAACACATAAAGTTGGGTAATGGATTGCCCATTTGATTTTTATTGTCTTTTTTATACTTTTTGTATATAACTCACATTTCAAAGCCACACATTATGTTGCAGATACTAAAGATGATAATCCGTATGCTCTAGGCTTGACCCTGCTGTTGAGGTAGGACTCATCGCCCTTTATGCCAAAGTGCTCTGGAAGAAGGCTCAGATGAGTTTGTTAGTTCTTCCTTCCATTCCACCCACAGTTGGTATTTCTGCCTGGAAGACCACTTGAGGGCAGCACCTCACTCTTTTCTCCAGCCTGTTGCATCTTGTCACCTGATGATCTTGCTCAGAAAATGCAATCCTTTAAGCATCTCTTGGATGGCTAAAGATCATGATGTGCAGACACGATATCCTGTTTGCTGATTGTGTTAGAAAAAAAAAAGTTGCCTTTTTTTGTTCTGACCATTTCTTTCAAGCATGTGTAACAAGGTGTAAAAATGGGAGCCTTCCAGTCTCAGTTTTGGTTGAGCCCACAAAGCTATCCCAGGTTATTAAGTGAGGTACGAGATCACAAAAGCAGAAGTTGTAACAGTGATGTCCAGAAACCAGTAGGTGACATCCAGTTTGACAAAGCTTGGAGAGGCTGTGAGAAAACTGGTAGGGTATTTGGTGATGGCTGCCACGTCCTGTCCATCTCCTATCTAAGGAAAGAGGGTCTCTTCTATACACTACTAAGAGGGTGCTTGGTTTGTATACTCCATGTGGGGGCCAGGTAGCTGCTGTCCAATTCATGTTAAGAAAGCCAATGGCTGTGGCCAGATAACTGCTCTAGTAGTTTAGCAGAAATTGATCATTTAAAGACTTTCACACTCAGAGGTTTTCCAAAGAAAACCTGAGGGTTTCCCCAATGAGGGTTTCCCATGCATAGCAAATTGACCAGGAATAAATGGTCTTACATCCTGTCCAAAGGAATTACTGGAAGTGTGAAGTGAAACCCCAAGAGAATTGCCCACTAGGTTCCTGGAGGCTGAGGGAGATGAATATTAACAACCTAATCAAAGAGGTCCATTTTCCCACATCAAGAGATCTTGAGAAATAAGATGATGTCCTTCAAGGCACTCAGAGAGTGGCTCAATACTAAATACCCAGTGCTGAAAGCAACCTGCCACCTCCAACAGTATCAGACCAAAAGAACTTTCTACTCTACTTCTCTGCCCTATCACCATTGGGAGGAGCCAGAGGAACCCTAGTGAGTGAAAAGAAGGTATAAGCAAGGAGATGAAGCACATACTTCCTTTCTCAGTTCTAGAGAAGAAAAACTTCAACCTTAAACTTTACACAAGAATGGACTTTTTAAATGAGAGAAAGCACACACACGTACGTGTGTATATGTGTGTGTATGTAAAAGAGTGAGCGATTAGAAGGTAACAACTACGAGTGAGCAAAAATTTCAAAGCGAGAAACAGATTCAGGGGCCTGGGAAGTTTTCTGGTTTCACCCCTGGAATGTATGTGCATCAATTCTACAGTTTTTGAGTGAGGCTAGATAGAAACAATTTGACTGTTACCATTTTCAGATGCCTTGGCTCCCCATAAGAGGAAAATATAAAGTAGCTTGGACCATGTAGGCTATCTTTTTGTACTGTACAGGTTAGGGTGGTTCAAATTAGACTAGGATAATCTAATCCATTAGATCACATTATTTGATTTTTTTTCAATATTGTTGATATACTATTGTAGGGCCATTATTTCATAGATGAGAAAATTGAAGTTCAAAGAAGTTAAGTGATTTACTCCAAGGTTAGACTTCTGCCTAGGCTAAAGGCTGATTACCTAGATGCAGACCAAGCCTCTCACCAAAAGCAAGAAAAACTGGGGGAAATATTTAATAAGGTGTTTTGATTCATGAGAGATTTATCAAAGCAGCAAGAATTTGAAAGGCCAAGATCTGGAAGCCGAATATATTTGTCACCACTTTTCTCTATGAAGTTTGGATCACCCCTCACAAACACTGAAGCTCGAGTTTTAATTGGTTCTATCCCTAACTGGACTAAGATCTTCCCATGCCATTATGTACTTCCCACTAGAACCATAAATTCATTCCCTCTGGAAGAAGGCGCAGCGGGTTGAAGCACTGCACTAAGAAGCTTAAACCACTTCCGCATGAGTTCGAGGAGCTCCACATGGCGCGGCAGACCTCTCCTGACCCGCCCGCTGCTCCCCTCAGCAGTGTACTTTGTCGATCTTCCTGTTCTGCTCCCCAGTCTGTCTCTGGTGAATCCTCTCGCCTTCCGCATCTCTGGCCTGTACCCCAGTTCTATATGAATAAATAAATCTTAAAAAAAAAAAAAGGTAAAATTATACAGGAGGAAACTCTGATTAGGAGAGCAATTATACTGATGATTTTTTACATATGGATAATAAATTTTTCTTTATGAAGTCTTCTCACAACATAATTTCTCCAGTAATCCAACAGAGTAGATTTAGTTTGTTTTACAAATAAGGAGCATGAGACTTTACCAAGAATTTCAGAAAGTGGTCACTAGATTCCAGGTGCCTTTGCCATTTCTTATCTCTCACATTGGTTTTTAAGAGTAGAAAAACGTGATATGTTTCTTAAGCAAATAAAATTGCTATAAAATTGCTATATATTTAAATCAGCTTTAACATGTTTGACAAAAAATACTTGTTGAGAACACTCATTCTAAGTCCTTTTATTATCCAGTTGGATAATTATCCAGTTGGATAACAAACCTTCAAATCACAAACGTACATTAGATAACAAAGTAGACTCGATGGCAAAAGGGCATACTTCCTACATATTAATGTATGAGCTCTATTATGTGTTCCTTTAGATAATTCCAGGAATGCTCCTTTTCTCTTTTCTTTTTTAAAGATTTATATATATATATGCATACAGAACTGGGGTACAGGCCAGAGATGCAGGGGTGGTGAGAGGATTCACCAGAGACAGAGTGGGGAGCAAAACAGGCAAAGCAACGAAGTACACTGCTGAGGGGAGCAGCGGGTGAGACAGGAGAAATCTGCTGTGCGATATGGGTCACCTCCCGGGCGAGGGATCAAACTGAGCTGAAACGGCTGCGGCTAGCTTTGTAGTGTTGTGCTTTAAACCTGTTGAGCTATCAGAGAGACCCCAGAATATTGCTTTTTTCACTTTGGAAACCAATTGAAATATTAAGTATAATTGTCTGCAGTTTGCTTTGTCTTTCATACTTGTATTATTCCTACTGACAAAATATTCCGGTTAAGAAATGACAGCCGGCTTTTGAAGCTTTCTTCAAACAGTCAGGAGGATACAATCCATGCATTTGGGTATAAATCACAGATTGAGAATTATAAATCAAACTTTTGGGCCAAGTTTGTTCATGTGTGTGTGTGTGTGTGTGTGTGTGTGTGTGTGTGTGTAAGAAATTCATATATACATAAGAAACTCATACATATAAGAAACTCATACATATATATGCATATATATATAAGAAACTATTAACACATTCCCAGATGCTTTGAAAGATATAAATTAAAATGCATGAAAAATGAAAATTCTGAAACTCTAGTGTTCCTAATTTATCAAACATTATAAAGCCAAAGGTTAGAAAAACTGAACTCAATCATTAAATCATTATGACTTCTATGTTTATTTTAGTGTGCATCAGGCATAGAGTTGCTTTAAATGTCATAATTTTAAAGTTCATTAACCATGATTCTTAACCATGATCAAAGTTGTCTGAAAATAACCAGATATAGTTTGCATTATTTGCTTTTAGTTACTATTATGATTTATTTACAATAAATTTCCTACAGTCAAATATGCTAGTTATAAATCAGTATTTCAAATGATTTTACATTAGCTAATATAGATCTATTTACTATCAAATATATACTTAAAACTTGATCAGCTACTGATTAAGTAATGCAAAAATCCTAAATAGAATGAATTATCCTTCCCAATTCTATTTCTTTATATAATGTAACATAAAAAAGCAATTTTAAACATTTTTATAATTTATGTTGAAGTCTAAA